ACTGGGGATCCCAAAATGAAGAGCTGCCTCACTACACTGGGGATCCCAAACTCTTCAGTGCAGGCAGGCAGTGCCCGCGACGGTGCCAGCTGTAAACACCCAGCCTCACACTTGCCAAGGGCACGGAGCCACCCCAGGGCTCAGCAGACAGGATTTTGCATCTAACAGAGCGAGGCTTCCCAAAGTTTCACTGAATTCCTTCTGGAACATCAGTGCAGCCCTTCAAGTCTGCCTGTGCTCACTACAGGGGTGGTGGGTATGTGTGTAGGGTGGGGGCAGGGGGCAGGTGGGGGTCACTGAGGCAGGGTCCCCGGGAAGGGAGTGTCATGGTGGGTGCTGGGCACTCTCTAGAAACCCTTGCTGTCTGTGCCCATGCATGGACACTCAGGGTTCGATGCAGCCCTCAAGGTGGGGAAGGAAAGGGCAGGCATGCGCATAAGAGCCCCCCAGCCCACAAGGCCCTAAGCAAGGCCGGGTGTGGCCCCAAACCGCACAATAAGTGAAACAGTCTCCTCCTACCAACAGTGCCCCCTGAAGGAACCTCTTGTACGCGTTGCACCAGCCACAGAAGCAAACAGACTTGCTGCCCCAGGATTATCTGGGGAGCGGCTGAGAGCAGACACACTTTCATGCATCGTGAAGAATAAGAGGTTTCTAGAAGCAGCACTCAAGTCACCAGGCAGAGGGGGCTGTTGGCGAGGCTGGCGGGGAAAGGCACGGTGTGGCCAGAAGGGTGCAAACAGCTGGGGATGCTGACGCGGGGCTCAGACACGTTATCTGGATCTGGAACGTCCAGCGGCCCCAGGACCTTGGCGCTGACTGTCCACTAGCAGAGACCTACAGGGTTCTGCTCACCGGGGTCTCAACCAACCTCCTGCCCAAGACCTGCGGGGCATCTGCAGGTGACAACTGGTTCCATAACTTGAGGGGACCCAGAGCTCCAGGTCCAGGGGACCCAGGCTCCTGTCTCTCTACTCAGTTGGGGAAAAGTGTTTTCCCAAAATTTTATTTTATTAAAGCACTACGAGGTACAAAGTTATTCATAATTGGGTATTTGACATATATCACCGATCTCACCAGTGTCCACTAGGTTCCTTCCACTAGTGTTCCCGGGGTCCCTCTGCTGACCCCCCACGCCCCCACCCCACCTCTTGACAGGCACCTTTTAAATCTGGTTGTTCAGGTCTGCGCCTGAGATTTCAGTGTTGTTGGCTCTGGTTTTGGTATTCAGTGCTATCGTTCCTAACACCACCCATGTGCTTGGGTACCCTTGACCCCGTCTACGTCACTTCTCATCTATCTCTTATCCCTATACCCTTAAATCTATTTCTTTCAGGGCCGGAGTAATAGTACAACAGGTCAGGTGTTTGCCTTGCACACGGCTGACCAGAGTTCAATCCATGGCATCCCATATGGCCCTCCAAGGATCACCAGGAGTAATTCCTGAGTGCAGAGCCAGAAGTAACCCCTGAGCATCACTGTGTGTGACACACACACACAAAAAAAAATTATTTCTTTCCTTCTCTCCTTATACTCTAGGCTAAGGTGATGGAGGCAGCCTCCACTTAAACCACTGCATTCCCTCATCCAGTTACTCTAAGTACCACATGTAAGTCAGACCATTCTGTGTTTGTCCTTCTTCCAGTTTATTTCATCTAACATGATATCTTCCACTTCCATCCATGTCGCAGCAAATCATATCATTCATTGTTCTTTACAGCTGCGTAGTATTCCACTGTGGACATATACCACATCGTCATGATCCACTGATCTATTGTTGGACATCTAGGCTGACTCCAAATCTTAGCTATTATACCAAGTATTGCAATGAATAATTGTGTGCATACGTTCTTTAGAATCAATGTTTTTCTGTCCGGGGGGTCCGCTCTAGTTATTAATAACCACCCCCTGTATATACACTTTGATGCTGGAGATAGAACCCAACATCTCATAAACACTCGAGGCCAATGTTCTCCCAACGAGCTGGGTCTCGGTGGGAACTTAACTTTTCACTTGATCATTTGACATCCCGTTACTCACTGATTTGTTCGAGCAGGTGCTAGTTACGTCTCCATTCATCCCTGTCGCATGCTAGTGTAGCCCAGTGGCGTCTGCTCTGGGAACACGAACAGCCTCGAACTGATCATTCAGGGTCTTGATGAAGAAGTCTGACCATCTCATAGGTGGGCAGCCATGCGATGTTTTGACGTTCCATGGAATCCAGTCAGTAATGGCTCTAGTCTAGCGGTCGTCTCCAAATCTCATTATGTGTCCAGCCCATCTGATTTTCGACGTCTTGGCAAACGACACAGCGTCCCTGATTCTTGATCATCAATGGAGGTCGAAACTCCGAATTCTCTCTCTCACTTGAGTGAAGCGTGATACTCCAAGCATAGCTCTTTTGATTCCTCTTTGGGAGACCCGAATAGCATTCTCATTAAAAAGATGAGAACTTAATTTTTAGCGAACTTAATTTTTTTCTGGAGCGGAGCAGACTAGCAAAGCCAGGAAGCCTGTGCACTGTCAGGGATTGAACTCGGGACTCCCCCCTACAAAGCACATGTACTCCCCCCCCACCCCGAGTCATCTCCTGACCCCCACTCACTCTCTATGAAGATGGGGGCTCTGTTGTCCCCAGTCGGCCGTGCGTGCCCCTGGGAAGCCAGGTTTTCCGAGGGCACCCTCTCTCCAGAGCCAGTAGGCACTGCTGGCCGCCCTCTCTGCTGAGTGATTCACTTGACCCTAAACTACAGGAGAACCCCAACATTTGGGTAGGAATCCGTCACAAGCCACAGCTACCCAGCATCTCATAAACACATGAGGCCAATGTTCAGAAAGTAGACAGACTCCATCTCTGGGTAGCATCACAGAGAAATGAGGGTCTCACTCGGTCTCAACAAGCCCAACAGTATGCCTGCGGACCCTCTCAGGCAAACCCCTGCACTAAGGCACAATATCCCAGGGGTCTGCTCCTGCCTGGACAGGGGGTGCCCCCGCGGCTCCCACCAGGAGTAGCCCGAGCACCACCAACTGTGGCCTCAAGCAAACAGAACCTGCAAAGTTGCTTCCGCTTCTTGGCATCTGACCCCCAGACACAAACACTTCATTGTCAGGACACATGTGCACCTGTACTCGCCCCAGTGCGCAGTTCAACAGCTGGCTAGGGAGACAACACAAACGCCCCGCGACAAATGAGTGGGTTGGGAAGATGTGGTGTATACACAATGGAATACTACACAGCTCTGAGAAAGGACAAAAGCATGCTCTTAGCTGTGCCAAGGACGGAACTAGAAGACATGAGGCTGAGTGAAGACGGTGGGAAGGAAAGGGATAGACACAGAATGATCCTATAGAGAAACACAGTATCTGGACATAAAGCTGGACAGTGAGGGGCAACAAAGGGCCCAAAGCATCCAAAGTCGAGAGTTTGTCCACAGGACTGAGCTGGGTTGGATTGGGGGTGAGTCGGGAAGAGAGGGCCCCGGGCTGAAATAATAAATAGTAGAGTGGGGAGGCCATTTGCCTTGCATGAAGCTGACCTGGGTTCAAGCCTGGTAACCCATATGGTCCCTCGAGCCTGCCAAGAGTGATCCCTGAGCACAGAGCCAGGGTAAGCCCTGAGCATCACTAGGTGTGGCCCCAAAACCAAAATAAATAAATGAAAAGAGAGAGGATTTTGGTGGAGGAAATGGGTATTCTGCTGCCGACTGTGGTGTTAAGATGATGGACGCATAAAGCCAGCACCCATAGGACTGTCCACCACAGTCCCTCAGTCAAGATTTAAGGGTGGTAGATATAGTAGTAGACATAGTAGACATAGCAGGTAGGGAGCTTGCCTTAGACCCGACCGACACGGGGATAATCACTCAGGAATAATCACCCCCGGTGTGCTCGGGGGACCATATGGGAGGCTGGGGATTGAACCCAGGTTGGCCACATGCAAGGCAAGCGCCCTCCCTGCTGTACCATCGCTCCAGTCCTTGAACATCCTTTTTAAAATTAAAAATCTGGGGCTGGAGTGATAGCACAGTGGGTAGTGCGTTTGCCTTGCACGCAGCCGACCCCGGTTCGATTCCCAGCATCCCATAGGGTCCCCTGAGCACCGCCAGGAGTAATTCCTGGGTGCAGAGCTAGGAGTAACCCCTGTGCATCACTGGGTGTGACCCAAAAAGCAAAAAAAAATTAAAAATATATTTTAAAAAGACTTTTAGGGGCTGGAGGCCAAAGCGATAGTACAGTGGGGTAGGGCATTTGCCTTGCACTCAGCCAACCCAAGTTCAATCTTCGGCATCCCATATGGTCCCTTGATCACTGACAGGAGCAATTCCTGAGTGCAGAGCCAGTTGTAACCCCTGAGCATAGCTGGGTGTGGCCCAAAAAGCAAAGTAAATAAATAAATAAATAAATAAATAAATAAAAATTAGGGGCTGGAGCCATAGTACAGCAGTTAGGGCATTTGCCTTGCATGCAGCTGACCCAGGTTCTATTCCTAGAATCCCATATGGTCCCCCAAGCACTGCCAAGGGCAATTCCTGAGTGCAGAGCCAGGAGTAGCCCCTGTGCATCGCCAGGTGTGACCCAAAAAGCAAAAACAAAACAAAACAAAATTTAGGCTACACCTAGCAGTGCTCAGGGCGTATTCCTGGCTCTGTGCTCAGGGATCATTCCTGACAGTGCTCTGGGGACCTTATGAGGTGCCGGGAATTTGAACCAGCGCCAGATGCATGCAAGGCAAGTGCCTTTACCTCTGAAATTCTCTCCATCAGCGGGCAGCCAAAGTGGCTGGCAGTCCGGATGTGAGTCTGGGCGGGTCGCACTGACCATTCAGCTGTTGGGCTGTTGCCTTCCATTCTCAGGTGGACACAGACACACACTCACTCCCACAATTACGGGTGACCTGTGTCTGTTCCAGCCTGTCCTGAGGGCTTTAATGAGGTAACCTGGTGGGAGGTGGGGACACAGAGTGGGCAGGGCTGTCCTGCCCTGGACAAGGCACCTACCTTGGCTTCGAAGAAGTGCTTGGCACCTTTGACCCCCTCCAGAGCCACGTCAATCTCGGACAGCTTGGCCAGCGCCATCAGCCCGCTGTCCTCCTGCAGCTGCCCGGCGGCCGCCTTGTGGAAGATGAGCAGAAACTGTAGAAAAAGGTGGACTGAGGTCAGGGTCAGCCTGGCCAGAGAGTTCTAGCATTGCCCCGGGGACCTGAGCTGAAGCCATTATTGCCAAGCCCATAAAAAGGGTGCGGGGGTGTGCTTAAGTGGCAAATCATTTTTTTTTTCTCCCCCTGATCACATGGTCAAACCGAAAACATGGGGCAGGGAGATAGGACTGTGGGTAGGGTGCTTGCTGTGAGCACAGCCTAGCTGGGACAGCGCCCAGCACCACGGAGGGTCCACCAAGCCCTGCCTGGAGTGACCCCTGAGCACAGAGCCAGGAGTAAGCTCTGAGCACTGCTGGGTGTGACCCAACTGCCTCCCCCCACACACATACACCCGAAAATACGTTTATTTCTGCAAGGATTCAGGGAAAGGGGCACACTGCCTTTAGTTGAAGCAAGTGTGAGTTTCGTTGAGAGGACGCTTTAGAAGCATTTGCTAAGATACCGAAGGCTTTAATTTCCACTCACGAGTCCCACTGTGGGGAATTGTCTGTCCTTTGGGGACCATTTACCCAACAGTTGAAGAACCATTATCTATACAAGCAAAAATTGGCAATGTCCTAGTTTACTGCAGTGAAAGAAAAGCTCGCTAGCCGTGTCCGACCTGTTCTAAGTTATTTTCTCTGCATGTGCTGTTTCCTTGGTGGGGTGCTGGGAGTCGAACCCAGAACCTTCCACTGATGAGGCGCAAACCTGGCCCTTCCTGGTGCTCCTGCCCAGCTTTCAAAGGCCTCTGGGTTTTCTGTTTGTACTCCATGCTGGCGTGAGACTGCTTATCCTGTGAAGTGTTTCCTAAGAGATCTTTCTAGAACTTGGGATTGTTTCGAATGCTTTAGCTCAGCTATTCAACTTATTTTTCTTTTCTCTCTTTCTTTTTTTTTTTTTGCTTTTTGGCTCACACCCAGCAGTGCTCAGGGGTAACTACTGGTGATGCACTATATGGGATGCCAAGGATCGAACCCGGGTTGGCCACATGCAAGGCAAATGCCCTCCCCGCTACACTGCTCTGGCCCTCCTCACCTCCGAATTTTTAAAACTTTTGTCCATATAGTCTATCACACTTTCTTTTCTCTCTCCAGTGCTCACTCAGAAAGACTTTCTCCCTGCCAAGGTCACACGAACACTGTCTTTGTTTGTACCTACTGCTATTATAACTTCTTTTTTTTTTTAAACATGTAAATATTTAATCTCAGAAATTTATTCTGATCTATCACAAAGTTGATCATTAACCTCATTTTCTTTCAGATGGTTAGTTAGTAACCCCCACATGATTTATTAAATAATCCATCCTTTTCCTCCAGATTCGAATAAATAGGACATGAGTGAGTTCATCTTTATAATCAACTAAAAATCTCCCCCTAATACTTAAAAAAAAAAGGGGGGGTAGGGGGTTGGGGCACAATTGGCTGTGCTCAGAGCTTACTCATGGCTCTGTGCTCGGGAAGCAGAACAAGGCTGGGTGGGCGGTGTGCAGGGCAGGCCCCTTCCCTGCTACACAATCACTCCTCTGCCCACCCCTGTTTTGTTGTTGTTGTCGTTGTTGTTGTTTGCTTTTGGGTCATACCCAGCCATGCACAGGGGTTATTCCCGGCTCTGCACTCAGGAATTACTGCTGGTGGTACTCGGGGGACCATTTGGGATGCTGGGAATCGAACCCGGGTCGGCTGCATGCAAGGCAAACCCCCTACCGGGTGTGCTATTGCTCCAACCCCGCCCGCCTCCCCACCACCCTATTTCTTAAAGCAGGGAGTAACCTCCTGGAGTCTGAGCTAGCTGGTCTCTTTTCTTTCTTTCTTACTTTCTTTCTTTCTTTGTTCTTTTTATGGTTTGGGGGCTCTGGCTGGCAGTGCTCCAGGGACCAAATGTGATGCTGGGGATGGGCCCTGGGCCTGCTGCAAGCAAGTCAAGCACCTTAACCCCCGCACTCCCTCTAGGTCTCCACTTCTCCTTTAAATGGATCCTGTTCTTGTTTGTTTGTTCTTGAACCCCAGGACTCACAGGCCCGCCCAAGTGCTTGATGGCTGAGCCACAGGCCTGTCCCTCCATGGCTCTTTAAAAAAATTTTTTTCTGTCAGTCTGTCAAGGAACGTCTCTCCAGAGTCTGTCATTTATTTTTCCACTCGGGAAGAACAGAAATGATGAATTCCCATTCGCCACGGCAGAAAGTGGTGTCTGAGGCCACTGTGACAGCATAGCGAGCACATAGCACATACGTGCTTACTGTGCACACAGCCAACCTGGGTTCGATCCCTGGCACTCCATATTCCCCTGAGCCCCATCAAGAGTGGTGGTGGAGAATGGGCACTGGTGGGGGGATGGGTACTCGAGCATTGTATAACTGAAACCCAAGCACAAAAATTTGTAAGTCTACAACTGTACCCCATGGTGTTTCAGTACTAAAAAAAATTTTTTTTTAAAAAAAGAGTGATCCCTTAGCACCCCAGGCGTGGCTCAAATCTCCTCACCACTACCCTCCCCCAAAAGAGGGGCTTCTCCAGGTCTTCAGGGCGCCCCGAAACTCTGCATGCTTAAAGGGAATTCTGAGGCATTTTCTTCATGACAGTGTCCTACAAAACCTGACTCCCAGGGCTGGAGAGATAGCACAGCGGGTAGGGTGTTTGCCTTGCACGCGGCTGACCCGGGTTCGATTCCCAGCATCCCATATGGTCCCCTGAGCACCGCCAGGAGTAACTCCCGAGTACAGAGCCAGGAGTAACCCCTGTGTACCACCAGGTGTGACCCAAAAAGAAAAAAAAAACCTGACTCCCCTGGGGGCAGAGGGGGTCACAAGGAGCAGTCCCCAAAGAGGGGCAGAGGCAGAACAACGTCAGCCCCCTCCCCCCCCCGCCCCCCCCCCCCCCAGACCAGCCTGAGAGCCTCTCTGCAAGATTAGTCTCCTTCCCACGTCAGCCCAGACACCTCGGGAACCAGCCAGCCTTCCCCACCCCCCCTTGCCCATAGGGTCCTAAGTTCACAGCCAAGCCGGGATGGGGCAATGTGCTGGGGACTGTGACCAGCCAGCCCTGCCCAGCCACTGCCTGCAGCTTCCAACTCCCCACTAGAGGCCGGCAAAGACCCAGTTTACAGCTGTGTGAGAGGCGAGAGGCCCAGCCCTGGCGCTCTGAAGGACGGGAGGCCCCAGGCTGGGATCCCGGCCAGGGGTTAGGGGTTAGGGGCTGGCGGGGGCCCAGCTTGGCTGGAGGGGACAGAGCAGCAAAGGGCCAGGCAGCAGGGAAGGGATGAGAGGCTCCACTCCGGGGTGACAGAAGCCCCCAGGCACCAGCCACCCCTTTGGAGTGGCCAGGAGGTAGAGAGTGATGGGGGAGGGGAGGGGAGGGGAGGGGAGGGGGAGGGGGAGGGGAGACGGAGCATGCGCTGGGTGTCTGGACCTTTCCTTGGTACTTAGAGCTGGCCCCTCTGCAGCTCAGCTCGGCCTAGGACCTCAGCAGCCCAGTCCCGAGTCACCCAGCCAGTGAAAGACTGGGGGAAAAAATACCGGTAAATCCATTTCCAGTTGTCCCTTCACTCAAGCCTCCGGCCGCCATGTAGACAGCTCCAAGCCTGGCCAGCCTGGTTCTGCTTCTATTCTAGTCCCCGAGGCTGGCCAGATCAGAGGGCAGGGAAGAGCTGGAGGGGTCCTGGCAGGGACCAGTTGCTGAGGGGTGGGGGGGCAGGGCCCCAAGTAGCTGCAGAGCTCAAGGACAAAGGCGGAAATCAAATTCTGGGCTCTGTGTGGAAGAGCAACACCTCCCAGGATTCGAGTTCCAGGGAGCAGAGACTAGAGGCTCCAGGAACAGGCCGGGGATGTGGCCCAGGGGCAGAGCATCTGTTTTGTACGTTTGTATGAATGAAGCCCTGGGGGGGAGGAGAGGAAGAGATGGTGAAAGAGGAGGGAGGTGAAAGGAAGGAAGAGGAAAGGAAGAGAGGAAGGAAGGGAGGGAGGGAGGGAGGGAGGGAGGGAAGGAAGGAAGGAAGGGAAGGAGGGAGGGAGAGAAGGAAGGAAGGAAAGAAGGGAGGAAGGAAGGAAGGAAGGAAGGAAGGAAGGAAGGAAGGGAGGGAGGGAGGGGTGAAAGATGAAGGGAGGAGGGAGAGAAGGAAGGAGGAAAGGAAGGAAGGAAGGAGGGAGGGAGGGAGAGAGGGAGGGAAGGATAGAAGGAAGGAAGGAAGGAAGGAAGGGAGGGAAGGATAGAAGGAAGGAAGGATAGAATAAAGGATAGAAGGGAGGAAGGATAGAAGGAAGGAAGGATAGAATAAAGGATAGAAGGGAGGAAGGATAGAAGGAAGGAAGGATAGAATAAAGGATAGAAGGGAGGAAGGATAGAAGGAAGGAAGGAAGGAAGGATGGAAGGAAGGAAGGAAGGAAGGAAGGAAGGAGGGAGGGAGGGAGAGAAGGAGGGAGGGAGGGAGGGGGAGAGAAGGAAGGAAGGAAGGAAGGAAGGAAGGGAGGGAGGGAGGGAGGGAGGGAGGGAGGGAGGGAAGGAAGGAAGGAAGGAAGGAGGGAGGGAGGGAGGGAGTCCGCAAGGAGCGGGCAGGTACCTCGCGGAAGCTGAGTTTGCCGTCAAAGTCCTCGTCCACCTCCTTGATCATGTTCTTCAGCCCCAGGTGGGTCTGGGGAGCCCCCAGTTTCTCCATCATCAGCTTCAGCTCCATCAGGTCGATGAAACCGTCCCGGCCCGTGTCATACCTGTGGGGATCAGACACAGAGACTGACGGGAGCAACCACAGGACAAAGGATGTGCCCCTGCTCCAGGCTCGCTGAGGTGATAGCCGCAGTGACTCTGGGGGACAGCCCGGGAGACGCACCCAGGAGGACTTCTGGGTCCCCCCTATATCCTAGCAGAAGTGCGGGAGGCTGGGAGGGTCCCCGCCTGCCTTCATGTCCCCCAGTTTCTGTCACACCCCATCCCTACACCCCCATCACTCAGAGCCTCCCTCCTGCTCCCCGGCCCGGGGGTCTCTGCACCCCACTCCTGCCCAGTCCAGCTCTCTCTTTCGGCCTCCCACCCTGAGGCGTGCCCGTGGGTCAGCCCAGCCCTGGCCCCCTGTCCCGGGGGTCTACTCCTGACTCACAGAATCCAGATTGATGGGTCACCCTAAGGGCACACCACAGTTCAGGCCTCTACCAAGTTTGGGCTGCCTTCACTGGCCGCTTCGGCCCCGGCCAGAGGAACAGCGTCAGTGGGGGAGCTTGGGTCTGGCCTCTAGCCTCAGTGCCCTGCTTCCTCCCGGCCACGCCACTCAACCCCGTCCACACCGTGAGCGGCCCCAGAGCTGTCCCTGGATTCCTGGATCTCTTCCCTTCACATCTACCCCGCAGTCCAGGCCCGGAGTTGCCTGCTCACTCACTCGCATAAACGCTTTGCTTTACAAATCCAATCCAGGGGCCAGAATGATAGTACAGAAGGAAGGGCACTTGCCTGGCATGCAGTGACTGAGCTTCCGTCCCTGAAACTCTCGAAAGCTTCAGGTTGCATCCCATAGGGTCCCAGCCCACCGCTCACGGAGCACCACCAGGGGTAACTCCTGAGTGCAGAGCCAGGAGTGACCCCTGAGCATGCAAACAAAACCAAACTAAACAAAACATCAAATCAGGGGCAGGAAAGATAGTACCTCAGCCAAGCACTTGCAGTGTAAGCAGCGATTCCAACCAACAAATCGGAAGGACTTAGAGCTTGTGCCTTAGGAAGCTTCTGGTCCTGAGTTCAAATCCCCAGAGCCTCCCTAACACGAGCACTGTAGCCGGGTGAGTGTGAGCGTGGGGGACCCCGGGGAGCACTCTGTTAGTGCCCAGTCCTGGAGGCGTGACCTTGGACAAGCAGTTCCGTGAGCATCACAACCTCAGCCCTCCGCACCCCGACATCAACGCTGAGCACCCCAACCAGAACGCCACCCCACCCCCAAGAAGAAGGGAGAGGCCGAGAGGGAAAACAAACATGCCATCAAAGCCAAAAAGCTAACAGAGGCAAAAGAAATCAGTAACTACATAAGTTAAACACAAATCAGTTCACAGTAGCTGAAGGTGGTGGCCGCGAGGGGCGCGTTCATGCGAGAATTTGTTTTTTTTTTTTTTTTGCTTTTTGGGTCACTGGAGTTACTCCTGGTTCATGTGCTCAGGAACTACCCCTGGCGGTGCTCGGGGGACCATATGGGATGCTGGGAATCGAACCTAGGTCGGCTGCGTGCAAGGCAAACGCCCTACCTGCTATTGCTCCAGCCCCCACGCGAGAGAATATTGTCCCCAGTGAGAGAGGCGGCGGCATGAGTGAGCTGAGAAGCCACAGAACTGAAACTGAGGCTGAAGGAAGCCAGACAAAGGGGCACTCGCTCATGTCCAGGTAGCGTCCACAGTGACCCCATTCTTTTTTTTTTCTTAACCTGGTGATGTTCAGGCCCCATATGGGATGCCGGGGATCGAACCTGGGTCGGCTGCATGCAAGGCAAATGCCCTCCCGCCTGTGCTATCGCTCCCGCCCCAGTGGCCACATCCGGAGCCAGAGAGCAGGACACTGATTGCCAGGGCCGGTGGCGAGGGGTGGGGTGGGGTGTGCGGTAAATGCTTCTTAACAAAGTGAGGTGCAGCTCGGCTGAAGGGAAGTTCTTGGAGGCAGAAATGAGGTGACTCAAATGCAGCCCAAGCGCCGTCAGTTAAGATGCTGAAATTCCGGGCTGGAGCAATAGGACAGCGGGGAGGGTGTTAGCTTTGCATGCGGCCAACCCGGGTTTGATTCCCAGCATCCCACATGGTCCCCCAAGCACCGCCAGGAGTAATTCCTGAATGCTGAGCCAAGAGAAACCCCTGTGCATCACCGGTTGTGACCCAAAACAGCAAAAAGTACATGAATAAATAATAATAATAAAAGAGGAAAAAAAAAGATGACATACTTCATGCACAGCTCAGCACAACAGAAAAATCAAATGAGCGAATCAGGCTTTTCACTACCCACCCTGACGGCCAACAGAACAACAAACCACTCATTGCTGCAGAAATGTGACTGTGGGCGGGTAGAAATCTCTCCCGTGGGCTGGTGGCATTTGGGCCACGTGGTGCGCTGGGGAGCTCATGCCATGCCTCCCACCCAGCCCCCTGCCAATCCGGTCTGGGGTTCTTGCCACGGCCAGAGCAGACAGCTGCCACCTGTCCTCTGGCCCCATCAGCACCCATGTCTGTCCCCTCTGACACTCCGGCAGTCCCAAGCTCCGCAGGGCCTGTCACGTCCTGAAGAACCATGTGACAGACACCCCAGGTGTACTGGGAGCCCTGCAAGTACCACGTGACAGGGACCTGGGGCCGCTAGCCCACGGGGGGTACAAAGATAAATGTATGCGTCTAAGCCACAGAGCCAAGTACACTGAAAGCAGGAGGCAAACTCCAATAACTAAACTTGAAACTGGCTGCCAAGAGGGCAGAGGAGGGATGGGAGGGGGCCTGGGGGCACTGGTGGAGGGACGGTCACTGGAGATGGGACATCGCATGCCTGAAACGCTGTTAGGAACAACGTTTTTTTTTTTTTCTGGGTCACAGCCGACAATGCTCAGGGGTTACTCCTGGCGGTGCTCGGGAAGACCCTATGGGGTGCTGGGGATCGAACCCAGGTTGGCACATGCAAGGCTAATACTGTCCCCGTTTTGCTATCATTCTGGCCCTGTTATGAGCAGCTTTAGGAATCACTGCGCCTTAGTTTGAAAGAACCCTGGGAAAGGCACCAGGGCGCACACAGGACCCTACTCTGAGCTCTGGACACAGCCGAGAGTTTCTGGCTTCACAGAGGGCCGAGTACAGACTCGCATATGTGCCGGGTGTATCCCAAGCTGGCTTGTGAGCACTTTCAGAAGGAGCACTAGGGGTGCCCGTGCATACTGGGCTTCATCCTCCTGGTGTAAGCGGCAGCTGTACTGACCTGGGGTCTGCATGACTCGCTTCCTGCAAATGGTGACAGCCACTGCGTAGAACGCTATGGAGAGTCCCCAAAGTGTCAATATGAGAGGCCAGAGTGATGGCACAGCGGGAAGGGCATCTATCTGCCTTGCACGCGGCCAACCCGGGTTCGATCCCCGGCATCCCATATGGTCCCTCAAGCCCTGCCAGGAGTGATTTCTGACTGCCGGAGACAGGAGCAACCCCTGAGCATTGCCAGGTGTGACCCAAAACCAAACAAACAAACAAAAAAAATCAATACAAAGAGGGGTGGGGAGTACATGCCGGCACATGTGAACCCTGAGGTCAACCCCTGGCATTGCGTGGCATCCACACACACCAAGCCGTAGCTCTGATGGTCTCCCACAAGCACTGTTGCACGTAATCCCCGCACCCCAGGAACTGCACATCACAAATCACAAATCATCCTGTTATTCGTCGATTGCCTCGAGCAGGCCCCAGTAACGTCTCCTTCATCCTAGCCCTGAGGATTATATATAATCCTCACACGGCAGGAACTGCACAGCTAACAAAAATTTAAGAATACAGGGCCAGCGAGATAGTACAGTAGGTAAAGAACTTGTGTTTTACTCATGACTGACCCAGATTTGGTCCCTGGCATTGGCATTGCATAAGCTCCCTGAGCACTGCCAGCAGTGATCCCTGAGCACAGAGCCAGGAGTAAGTCCTGGGCACCGCAGGGTGTGGCCCTCAAACCAAAAAAAGGTATAGACCTCCCGATATTCATTGGAAAATTATTTTCTTTACCCAACAGGTGTTTTCATCCATTCATTCATTATTGCAACCATATCAGTTGGCTACAATAATGTATTAATGTATAACATAATAATATTAATAATTAATAATATAAACAATAATGTGTTTCAGGGTACACTGTCATGTCAGAATTTTTGGAAATACCCGAGCACTCCCGGAGAAAGGAGTGGAGAAAAGTCCCTGCCCACTGGCCACTACCCAGCAATGGGCAGTGATGAAGTCCTACCACGATGACACCGTGGCCAGAGCAGAGGGGACATCTACATCTTTTACACTGTAAAACTGGGCAGGTGCCAGTAGATTTTTTACAAGACTGTGCAGCCATCCTCGCAATCTGATTCCAGAACATTCTCATTGCCTCTCCCAGTCTTCCCTGCCCGGGCCCAGCTGCCTTCCTGTCCCTGAGGATTTCTGTCCTCTACACACTTGAGACCAACAGCACAGCATGACACGTACCCTCAGCAGGGCTTCCAAAGTTCCCCCCAGCTGGACCCAGACCAACTTTTTATTTTGTTTTGGGTCCTACTGTTCCTCAGGGCTTACTCCTGGCTCTGCGCTCAGGAATCGCTCCTGGTGGGGTCAGGGGGACCCTATGGGGTGCTGGGGAATTGGGTTGGCCGTGTGCAAGGCAAACACGCACCCCACTGCACTCTCTCCAGCCTGCAGTTCCAACTGGGGTTCCTTCCTCCTTGTTGCATGAGACCGTCTGGACGCATAACCGGTTCTGGTGACGCACAAGCCAATCAATGACTGACACCTAACGACCCTTCCACTCTGCGGCCCCAGGACTGATGCTACTCACACTCAGGCTTATGCACGAGCACGTGTGGTCACTTCTCTCAGGTGTGAACCCAGGTGGGGAGTTGCTGGGGCATGCGCGCATTTGTTTCTGAAGCAGGTGACCAAGCTGACGTGACAGAAAGCCTCAGTGGACAGAATGTGCCCCTCTGGGAGGAAGACAGAGGTGGACGTGCCCTGCGGTGGGGGCCGGG